TGGCACTCTCTACATTGCGTGCAGTGAGGTGTATTTTGTATTGAGGCGCCTCAAAATACAACTCACTGCACGAGAAGGGTGCACATGGCACTCTCTACATTGCGTGCAGTGAGGTGTATTTTGTATTGAGGCGCCTCAAAATACAACTCACTGCACGAGAAGGGTGCACATGGCACTCTCTACATTGCGTGCAGTGAGGTGTATTTTGTATTGAGGCGCCTCAAAATACAACTCACTGCACGAGAAGGGTGCACATGGCACTCTCTACATTGCGTGCAGTGAGGTGTATTTTGTATTGAGGCGCCTCAAAATACAACTCACTGCACGAGAAGGGTGCACATGGCACTCTCTACATTGCGTGCAGTGAGGTGTATTTTGTATTGAGGCGCCTCAAAATACAACTCACTGCACGAGAAGGGTGCACATGGCACTCTCTACATTGCGTGCAGTGAGGTGTATTTTGTATTGAGGCGCCTCAAAATACAACTCACTGCACGAGAAGGGTGCACATGGCACTCTCTACATTGCGTGCAGTGAGGTGTATTTTGTATTGAGGCGCCTCAAAATACAACTCACTGCACGAGAAGGGTGCACATGGCACTCTCTACATTGCGTGCAGTGAGGTGTATTTTGTATTGAGGCGCCTCAAAATACAACTCACTGCACGAGAAGGGTGCACATGGCACTCTCTACATTGCGTGCAGTGAGGTGTATTTTGTATTGAGGCGCCTCAAAATACAACTCACTGCACGAGAAGGGTGCACATGGCACTCTCTACATTGCGTGCAGTGAGGTGTATTTTGTATTGAGGCGCCTCAAAATACAACTCACTGCACGAGAAGGGTGCACATGGCACTCTCTACATTGCGTGCAGTGAGGTGTATTTTGTATTGAGGCGCCTCAAAATACAACTCACTGCACGAGAAGGGTGCACATGGCACTCTCTACATTGCGTGCAGTGAGGTGTATTTTGTATTGAGGCGCCTCAAAATACAACTCACTGCACGAGAAGGGTGCACATGGCACTCTCTACATTGCGTGCAGTGAGGTGTATTTTGTATTGAGGCGCCTCAAAATACAACTCACTGCACGAGAAGGGTGCACATGGCACTCTCTACATTGCGTGCAGTGAGGTGTATTTTGTATTGAGGCGCCTCAAAATACAACTCACTGCACGAGAAGGGTGCACATGGCACTCTCTACATTGCGTGCAGTGAGGTGTATTTTGTATTGAGGCGCCTCAAAATACAACTCACTGCACGAGAAGGGTGCACATGGCACTCTCTACATTGCGTGCAGTGAGGTGTATTTTGTATTGAGGCGCCTCAAAATACAACTCACTGCACGAGAAGGGTGCACATGGCACTCTCTACATTGCGTGCAGTGAGGTGTATTTTGTATTGAGGCGCCTCAAAATACAACTCACTGCACGAGAAGGGTGCACATGGCACTCTCTACATTGCGTGCAGTGAGGTGTATTTTGTATTGAGGCGCCTCAAAATACAACTCACTGCACGAGAAGGGTGCACATGGCACTCTCTACATTGCGTGCAGTGAGGTGTATTTTGTATTGAGGCGCCTCAAAATACAACTCACTGCACGAGAAGGGTGCACATGGCACTCTCTACATTGCGTGCAGTGAGGTGTATTTTGTATTGAGGCGCCTCAAAATACAACTCACTGCACGAGAAGGGTGCACATGGCACTCTCTACATTGCGTGCAGTGAGGTGTATTTTGTATTGAGGCGCCTCAAAATACAACTCACTGCACGAGAAGGGTGCACATGGCACTCTCTACATTGCGTGCAGTGAGGTGTATTTTGTATTGAGGCGCCTCAAAATACAACTCACTGCACGAGAAGGGTGCACATGGCACTCTCTACATTGCGTGCAGTGAGGTGTATTTTGTATTGAGGCGCCTCAAAATACAACTCACTGCACGAGAAGGGTGCACATGGCACTCTCTACATTGCGTGCAGTGAGGTGTATTTTGTATTGAGGCGCCTCAAAATACAACTCACTGCACGAGAAGGGTGCACATGGCACTCTCTACATTGCGTGCAGTGAGGTGTATTTTGTATTGAGGCGCCTCAAAATACAACTCACTGCACGAGAAGGGTGCACATGGCACTCTCTACATTGCGTGCAGTGAGGTGTATTTTGTATTGAGGCGCCTCAAAATACAACTCACTGCACGAGAAGGGTGCACATGGCACTCTCTACATTGCGTGCAGTGAGGTGTATTTTGTATTGAGGCGCCTCAAAATACAACTCACTGCACGAGAAGGGTGCACATGGCACTCTCTACATTGCGTGCAGTGAGGTGTATTTTGTATTGAGGCGCCTCAAAATACAACTCACTGCACGAGAAGGGTGCACATGGCACTCTCTACATTGCGTGCAGTGAGGTGTATTTTGTATTGAGGCGCCTCAAAATACAACTCACTGCACGAGAAGGGTGCACATGGCACTCTCTACATTGCGTGCAGTGAGGTGTATTTTGTATTGAGGCGCCTCAAAATACAACTCACTGCACGAGAAGGGTGCACATGGCACTCTCTACATTGCGTGCAGTGAGGTGTATTTTGTATTGAGGCGCCTCAAAATACAACTCACTGCACGAGAAGGGTGCACATGGCACTCTCTACATTGCGTGCAGTGAGGTGTATTTTGTATTGAGGCGCCTCAAAATACAACTCACTGCACGAGAAGGGTGCACATGGCACTCTCTACATTGCGTGCAGTGAGGTGTATTTTGTATTGAGGCGCCTCAAAATACAACTCACTGCACGAGAAGGGTGCACATGGCACTCTCTACATTGCGTGCAGTGAGGTGTATTTTGTATTGAGGCGCCTCAAAATACAACTCACTGCACGAGAAGGGTGCACATGGCACTCTCTACATTGCGTGCAGTGAGGTGTATTTTGTATTGAGGCGCCTCAAAATACAACTCACTGCACGAGAAGGGTGCACATGGCACTCTCTACATTGCGTGCAGTGAGGTGTATTTTGTATTGAGGCGCCTCAAAATACAACTCACTGCACGAGAAGGGTGCACATGGCACTCTCTACATTGCGTGCAGTGAGGTGTATTTTGTATTGAGGCGCCTCAAAATACAACTCACTGCACGAGAAGGGTGCACATGGCACTCTCTACATTGCGTGCAGTGAGGTGTATTTTGTATTGAGGCGCCTCAAAATACAACTCACTGCACGAGAAGGGTGCACATGGCACTCTCTACATTGCGTGCAGTGAGGTGTATTTTGTATTGAGGCGCCTCAAAATACAACTCACTGCACGAGAAGGGTGCACATGGCACTCTCTACATTGCGTGCAGTGAGGTGTATTTTGTATTGAGGCGCCTCAAAATACAACTCACTGCACGAGAAGGGTGCACATGGCACTCTCTACATTGCGTGCAGTGAGGTGTATTTTGTATTGAGGCGCCTCAAAATACAACTCACTGCACGAGAAGGGTGCACATGGCACTCTCTACATTGCGTGCAGTGAGGTGTATTTTGTATTGAGGCGCCTCAAAATACAACTCACTGCACGAGAAGGGTGCACATGGCACTCTCTACATTGCGTGCAGTGAGGTGTATTTTGTATTGAGGCGCCTCAAAATACAACTCACTGCACGAGAAGGGTGCACATGGCACCTCTCTACATTGCGTGCAGTGAGGTGTATTTTGTATTGAGGCGCCTCAAAATACAACTCACTGCACGAGAAGGGTGCACATGGCACTCTCTACATTGCGTGCAGTGAGGTGTATTTTGTATTGAGGCGCCTCAAAATACAACTCACTGCACGAGAAGGGTGCACATGGCACTCTCTACATTGCGTGCAGTGAGGTGCATTTTGTATTGAGGCGCCTCAAAATACAACTCACTGCACGAGAAGGGTGCACATGGCACTCTCTACATTGCGTGCAGTGAGGTGTATTTTGTATTGAGGCGCCTCAAAATACAACTCACTGCACGAGAAGGGTGCACATGGCACTCTCTACATTGCGTGCAGTGAGGTGCATTTTGTATTGAGGCGCCTCAAAATACAACTCACTGCACGAGAAGGGTGCACATGGCACTCTCTACATTGCGACCATTCTGACCATTTGGTGAGGATGGTGGTGACATTGTAGAGTGCCATATGTGCTGCAAAACTGGCCATGGCCCACCAATATCCAGACTGAGGCTAACGAGAATGTAATGTTTGTGGTCTGTATTAGCATCTCACCCACCTGATGCTTCCCTGCTTCATTTTAAGCACGTCCTCTATCGTCAAAGAGCCCCGGTATCGCACGCGCCAGCGGTTTCTCTCGAGAGTGAGGTTGAAGCAGAGGCGGCAGTCCCCCACAACACTTCCCCTCCTCCTGTTATATCATGTCTCACCTGATGCTTCCCTGCTTCATTTTAAGCACATCCTCTATAGTCAGCGACCCCCTGTACCGCACGCGCCAGCGGTTCCTCTCGAGAGTGAGGTTGAAGCAGAGGCGGCAGTCCCCCACTCCTCCCCACCACCCATTCCATCCTCCTGTTGTATCATGACTCACCTGATGCTTCCCTGCTTCATTTTGAGCACATCCTCTATAGTCAAAGAGCCCCTGTACCGCACGCGCCAGCGGTTCCTCTCGAGAGTGAGGTTGAAGCAGAGGCGGCAGTCCCCGACTACACGGGCGTTGAGGCAGGCGAAGGAGGAGCAGGCGTGGTGGTCCCACACCAGGGCTGTGTCTATTAGGGCGCTCAGATTGAATAGGGCCTGGGGGAAGGGCAGAGGCTGGAAGGATGGAAGCAGGAGGAGCGGGAAACGGGAAGATTGGGGTCGAAACAAAGAGGAAAGGGGGGAGGAGGGAAGCATGAGGTGAAGAAGAGAGGAAGGAAGCAAGGAGGGGCGGGTTGGGTTGAAGCAGAGGCGGCAGTCCCCCACGACGCGGGCGTTGAGGCAGGCAAAGGAGGAGCAGGCGTGGTGGTCCCACACTGGAGCCCCGTCTATCAGTGCACTCAGATTGAAGAGCGCTTGGGGGAAGGGTAGAGGCTGGGGGCAGGAAGGGAGAAGAATGGGGAAAGGAGTATCATGAGGAGGGGATAAGAAGGGAAGCAGGGGAGAGAGGGTGAGTGGTGGGAGGGGGGTGGAAAGTAAGCAGACAGGAGGATGGGGGAAGAGGGAAGGCAAGCGAAGGAGGAGCAGGTGTGGTGGTCCCACACTAGAGCCCCGTCTATCAGCGCACTCAGATTGAAAAGGGCCTGGGGGAATGGCAGGGGTTGGAGGAGGGAGAAGCAGACAGAAGGGGCTTATGCATTTCCTACATTGATGGTTTCATGGTGGTGCGGGTGCGGCGTTGCCGCAGCGAGGAGCAGCGGTGGTGGAAGAGGAGGGACTAAGTGCAAGGCATATACACAGGTACGTTCAACTCACGAGTCATAAGTGCTCACATTGATGGTTTGGTTGGTTGGTGGTGCGGGCGCGGCAGCGGCGTTGTGGCAGGGAGAGGCAAGTCAAGAGTTGTGATGGGTGCAGGGGGGACTGGGTGCATGTGATATGTATGCGTACGAAACTACACGTGCAGCGCGAATTGGGCCTTACACTTTTTCTTTTAGGCGTCACAAGTCATAAGCGCTCACACTAATTGTTTGGTTGGTGGTGCGGGCGCGGCAACGGCGTTGCGGCAGGGAGAAGCAGCGGTGTTGAAAGATTAGGGACTGGGTGGCAAACCAGTCGTCCGGGCATGCCCCACTGGCATCATACGATGTGTATTGCCTGAGAGCCTCGTCTGCTGCATCACACGTGTAGCCCTGTGGGGAGAGATGAGAGTGAGGGGGGAGCAGAGACAGAGGGACTGGGTGGGAAACCAGTCGTCAGGGCATGGTCCACTAGCATCGTACGATGTGTATTGCCTGAGAACCTCGTCTGATGCATCACACGTGTAGCCAGGAGAGAACACATCTGATGATTTGTCCATTGGTCCTGTCCGCGGGTGAGTTTTGAGTCCGCTCAAAAGCCTCCAAGGCCACACAAAAACCAAGACCCAGAAACCTTTGACCTAGAAACGCCAAACCCCAAACCCACAGAACCCCGAAACCTGAAATTCCCCAAATCTGGAGACCCTATGGCCGGTAGCCCCAAGCCTTGAATGAATGTTTTGCTGTCATGCCACAATGCCCTGCCCATTGCACTGCCATCCCATGCACGAAAGACCCCAACCCAGCCCCACACACACCCCCTCCCCTCTCTCACCTTCCACACCAGCGTGCCCGGCTGTGCCAAAACTCCATGTCCATTGCCCATGACACACCACCACCGTACCCACACACACGGAAAGGTCCCTCCCCTCCCCCACCACGATTCCATGCACAAAAGCCCTAGTGCGTCCACAACCACGGGCGAAACCCCTCCCCTCCGCTCACCTTCCACACAAGTGTCCCCTGCTGCGCCACAATGCCATGCCCGTTGCAGCGCTGCACTGTCATCTGCGCCTCGTGCATGGACTGTGGTGGGGGGAAAGGGAGGGGATGTAACAACCGGGGGGTGGGGGGGGAGGGTCGGGAGTGGGAAGGGGAAGACGAGCAGGGAGCTGTGTTCCGGCAACACTGCCATGCCCGATGCATGCACCAACACACTGTCATCCGTGCCTCATGCATGGACTGTGATGGGTGGGGAAGAAGGGGGATGTAACAACGGGGGGGGGGGTCCTGGGAGTGGGAAGGGGAAGACGAGCAGGGAGCTGTGTTCCGGCAACACTGCCATGCCCGATGCATGCACCAACACACTGTCATCCGCGTGGTGGTGCGAAGCGAATGAGGGAATGAGAAGCAAGAGAAGGGGCAACACAAAGCTGTCCGCTGCACTGCTGCACCGTCATCTGCCCCTGGGTTGGGCGCATACTGGGCAATGCCATCTCACCTCACCAGGTTTTGACTCATTTTGATCCACCTCAACAGTCGTCACAAACCTTGCCTTGCGCACTGGGAGCATGAAGCCTCACCTGGTTTTTTTGACAGGAATGCTTTCTTTTGAATCAGTGGCTGCTCTGCTCAGTTTTCCAAGGCACCTCGTTTCATTTTGAGAACAGGCGCCATGTGCAACTGCCAGCTGGGGAAGAAGGCCTCACCTGGTTGGATAGAAACAATGCTTCCCAGTTGGCATCAGCTCTGCTCAGCTTCTTATTCAGCACGTACTTCTCTCGGCTCACTCTATTGCTCTCCGCCTGCCATAATGCATCACGCAATAAGGGGTACAGCAAAGTAACAAAAAGATCCTGAGATATTGAGACTTGAGAAGCACAGTGAGGGGTTTAGGGTTTAAAAGCAACAACAATCAAAACGGGTCTGTACAGTCTCTGAAATAGAGAGAACTGACCACTTCCAAGATTCAGGGTTTTAGGTTTCTGTCAAAGAGCTCACCTGCTCATGTATTGAGGCGTGACTCACCATTCATCCCCTCTACTGCATGCCTCACCTGTTTCTCTGCAATCTGTTCCATAAGCATTTACTGCTCCACTGACTACTCCCTAATCTTTAACACTAGCAGCGGGTCACAGCATGGTGCTCATCACCCAATCATCCTCCGTATTGCTTGCCTCACCTGTTCTCCAACCCGCATCTGTCATTCAGCCCTCACCTGTTTCTCTGCAGACTGCAATCTGCCCCATAAGCCTCTCCAGAACTGCTGTCTGCACCCTAAGCTTCAGCACCAGAGGGTCGCAGCATGGTGCGAATTACCCATTCATCCTCCTCATCGCTTGCCTCACTTGTTTCCCAATCCTCACCTGTTTCTCTGCAATCTGCCCCATACGCCTTTCCAGATCCGCTGTCTGCACCCTAAGCTTCAACACCAGCGGGTCACAGCATGGGTCCCCCTTGTTGCTTGCCTCACCTGGTCTTCAACTCTAGCTCACCTGTTCATCAAACCTCACCTGTTCATCAAAACTCACCTGTTTCTCTGCAATCTGCCCCATACGCCTCTCCACCCTAAGCTTCAGCACCAGCGGGTCGCAGCACGGCGCAGATTCCTGCAGAAGCTTCCTCGACCCCTCCAACTCACTCCCAGAATCTCCTCCTCCTGCATTCTCGTCCCTCTCACCACCCTGTCCTGACTGAAATCCCTGGAGCTTCGACTCTTCTCCGTCGTTATCACTCGTGCACGGCACACAGTCTGCAAGCCTGGCGCGGGTCTGGCGTCTTTCTGCTAATCTCCTTCTCACCCGGGCTTGCCCGTGGCTCAGAACGAGCTCTAAGTCATCAGAGACGTGGAACTGTTTGCTCTCCCCATCCATCTCGTCTTCACCCTCATCTAAACTCCTGCTTTCCTCCTTCTCATCCCCCTCCTCCTTGTCCCACTCGTCGTCACCTTCCTTATCCTCCTGCACATTCCTATCCCCTTTATTGCCCATGCTCTTTACCCTCCCTTTCTCGCCCTTCCTCTCCACCTGTTTTTCACGCCCTCCGTCATTCTCCTTGCCCAATTCACCATTCCCATCCCGACTGAACCCCCCTTCCAGGCCCCGCAGGGACCAGGAGTCACCCAGCCTGAAGGACCTTTCCGAAGCAGCACGCTTGGTTTGGTGCGGATCCGAAGCAGCAGGTGTGCTTCGGTGGGACTCCAAGCCAGCAGGATTGGCTTGACGACCTGGCGAGAGGGATAGATCCGGAAATTTGGGAAGGATGGCATAAGGGGAATGTAAAATGGCAAGAGAGTGAGGAATCCTTACTTCCTTTAAAGGCTCCTGGGGACTCCAAAACCCGAAACCCCTAACGAATTTGAAACTAAAACGATGAGTGAGAGGGTGGATCAGTGGAGAAAGTGGTTCCTCTCCCAAAGGCCGTCATGCAAAGCTGTGAATTCTGACCTTGTCCCACTCAAAGCTCCTGACGCTTACCTGTAACCATCGCTTCAAAGTGAGGTGGTTTTTGAGTCGATTCAAACCTTACCTGGTCCAATTTGAAGCTCTTGATGCGTTCTCTGGAACCATCGCCTGAGATCATCCAGCTCCTGCTGGCATTGCAGCTCCCGGCGGCGATGCGATTGGCTGGCGAACACCCTGAATGAGCGCGAGCACAGCCACAGTGAGCATCAGACAGAAATAACCCGGAGGGGACGGAGGAACGGGGAAGGTGGGAGATGTACTTTTGAGAATGGCAGAATACATTCTTGAAACGTTTCCAGACAAGAAGGTAGGCTTACCTCCATGGCATCCATGAGCGGAAAACCCTTAGCCATGATGTCGTCTCGGTGGATCTAAGATCACTAGCAGAGGAGGAATCGGTTGAGGACGGTACCAGCCATGACGTTCCGGTTACGGGTTCACTTAGCACCATGTGTGCTGCAAACACGACGACGAGCAGGAATCTAACGTTTGCCATGCTTCTAAGCCTGAATCCTGGTTGATGGAAGGCCATTTTCTTGCTGGGCAGAAGCTAAAAGGCCGAAGAAGATAGCTAGCGGACGAAGTCTTGAACCACTGAGTCCGACGATAGGTTTCGGAATCAGGGAATGAACACGCAAGTCTGAAAGGATGATTATCGCCTCGGTATGCGAGGACTTCTATCGGCAAAACGTCTGCGACGTCAAATCGCGGACAGAAAATTCAGGTCGGCTCCGTTCTTCAGACCAGCGAAACAAGCCGTAAATTTTGCTGTTAGCGCGATCAGGGTGGGACCAAATGTACGATACCGGATTGTATTCACGCTGAACACTACCGTCGACGTCATAGTCAAGAACCAGGACCCTGCATTCTCGGATGTGTGCGCTGTGATTAGGTGCAACAAACAGAGGTTATCTGATGGCATGGAAGCGACAAATTCATGGTGAACCGACCTACCTCCGAGGTTGAAGAAGGAATTCAGAGCTTGTAAATAGACCGAATTGGACCATATGGAAATGTATTAACATCCCACTACACCGACTATTCTTGTGTTGTGATGATCTCTGTCAGGATCACACACAACCACTCCCATCTCCATCATCCCACCAATCGCTGTTGCTGGTTTGCGAGCAAACCGACCGTTTGTCGGATCGTCGGATTCACGCGCCAGGTCAGAGATCAGCGGCTGGGGGAGGCATTGTGCGAAATTCTTTCGAGACCAGCGCCGACGACCACTTCGCGGAACGGGAGCCAATCATTGCCGAGAAAGAAGCTTCGGGTGGGACCTGTTCTCAGATTTTACCTACCCCGTTTCAGTTGGTTGGAAGAGGTTGCCACTCACGACATCGAAGCGCCAAGGACAAAGCAGACAACTCTTGCTGAGGCTAGATCCGCGTGGATAATGGACCTTTTATTGTTACAATCAGGTACATTCTAGGAAGCAGTATGTATTTCATCCAAAAAACTATTACGTAATCAGATATACTGCAGCTATAATATCACTCAAATGACCAGTTAATAATATTGAAAATTTAAAAATACAGAATTAAATATATTACGAGTGAGACTTTAATGGTATAATGTTTTTATTTAACTGATTTTACATGTGCATTTATGTTATATGAATCCGGATTGTAATATATATTATAATATTTAGCTATATTTTACTTCTCGAAAGCCTCTATACTTGATATTTTGAACAAATCATATATTTCTCCACTCTTGTAATGAAGGTTTGCATTTATGGACACATTACTAATGTATGTGGAAAGTTGCATAACGGGGAATTTTTGTTTGAGATGGCTTCACGGTGACGAAACTCTCACATGGCACACAGGGATGAGCCCAACATTTCGCCTCGGAAAGGCACGAACCAATCATCATCCAAATTCAACCAGCCATTCAAGCATGCAAACGTTCAAAAAATCATCCCCCTTTTCCCCACACGCAACCACGTCCAAAGGCGACCAAGAGCCGAAGCGTTTTGGCTTGGAGAGAGGGTCATGTGGAGGCGAAGGGGAAAAGGTGTCCGCTGTGGAAATTCAGGTGCATCCAGCCGTTCAAAAGCAGTGCTGTGCGCATCCAACGGCAGTTATTGCCTTATCTACCAAGCTGGTCAGCCATGGTAGATGCGTCTGAAAGCGGCGTCGTTCAGGAGTTCTTTGGTGTAGCGTAACGCGTTCAGGTCCCTTGCTGCGCCACCACTTATTGGAGAGCTTCGATTGGAACCCAACACTCGGCGCTGTTTTCTTCAACAATCTGCGTTAACAAGAGGCATACCTTTCACATACTCGCGTGTCGAATCTCAGCAGCACCAGTTTCTGGAAGTGCGTGTGAGGGTTTGGCGTTCCAGCCAGAGCCAAGGCAGCCTCACTTCACCAGTGTCGACGGCTTGTGTCTGCCTTTGGATCAGTTTCTAGGGTAGACCAGTTACTGATTCTAATCAGCCTGACCTGTTCGGAAACCGCTTTTGGATTCTCATTAAAGCGCTTACAACGCGCTTTGGGTCGGGCTCAGGATCATTCTCAGGCTAGGCTATTTACCAGGCCTAAAACAGCCTTACGTTGCCGTGGCACCGGCTTGCGACTCGCCACATCGACCACTGTCGTCTTCTAGCCGTCTCCCTCACTCCGGGTGAAAGGCCTCCATTGTACGGCTCTAGTTCCCTGATATCAGCATTCACTACATTCATCCGTCACACCCAGATCGTGCGACACCGTTCGTCCTGCGTAGCATCGTTCAGTCCTGATTAACCCCTTTCGTCGCGTTTGATTCTTACAGCATTCTGAGCTTCTCTGACGAGCATTTTTTTTATTTTGCGGACCAGTTTTTTCCCGTACGTTTACTCTAGCGTGCTGCATTTCCCGCTATAAGGGGTCTCACACCAAGGCTTCGAGTTCTCCTCGCGATGTACGTTGTCAAGCGCGACGGCCGGAAGGAGGCCGTGCACTTCGATAAGATCACCGCTCGATTGAAGAAGCTCAGCTACGGTCTCAGCACGGAATTTTGCGATCCCGTCTTAGTGGCTCAGAAGGTACGAGCCATCTCCTACATAATCAGTCTCTTTAAGGATCAGAGGTGCGAACTATACTTTGGATAGGCAGTCGCTTTTTGGATCAGAACGTACGAGCCGTCCCCTGGATAAGCAGTCGGTTTTAGGACCATAAGGTACAAACTGTCCCTGGATAAGCAGTCGTTTTTTGGATACACCAAATAAAGCTCCTTAATCTGGTGGATCATCCAGTCACGTCGCTTGCTGCCATCACTTCTTTATTGCCACCTTGCCGCCATCACCCCTTCATTGTCACCTTTATGCTCTTTCACTTCACTGTCATCCTTGGGACGTTGCAAGAGCAAATCACTTCTCGTCATCCTTCACAAAAAAAGGCGATTTCTTTACTGTCACCTTCTGATGGTCTATTTACATCCCCAGGTGTGCATGGGCGTGTACAAGGGTGTGACTACAGCACAGCTCGATGAGCTGGCAGCTGAAACCGCGGCGGGAATGACGGCCACACACCCAGACTACGCCCTCGTGAGTCAATGCTCCGTGTTTTTTTATGTAAAGCACAGTGCGTCATGCCAACTCGTCTTTTCTGTGGCCCACGCAAGTCCACGTGGCAGTTCATAGGCTCTTTATCTGATTTGCGCTGTCCAGGGGCTCCATTGTGTTAATAGCATGAAATTTATTTCCCGCGTGCAAGCTTAACCGGCACCTTTTTTTCGTCTTCTCCCACTCCTTCCTCTTTCATGTTCTGAAATCTTAAACCCTGAACCCGCAGCTAGCTGCACGGATTGCAGTCTCCAACCTGCACAAGAAGACAAAGAAGTCATTTTCTGAAACGTGCGTTTCGATTGGCTATTTTAACCGTAGTATCAGGCCATTGATCTGTGGCCGATGGTCATGCCATACCATGGCCCATGCCATGCCATGCCATGCCATGCCATGACTGTACAGTGAAGAGGATGTATGCGCATGTGAACCAGGATTCAGAGCTGCCCGCACCCTTGATTGCAGTACCTCAAGTTTCGTGCCACGCCATGCCATGCCATGATGTGCCATGCTATGCCTCTCTGTTCTGCAGTGTGAAGGACATGTATGCGCATGTGAGCCAGAGGTCAGGGCCTCCCCACCCTTGATCTCAATCTATGAGACACGTTGATTTTATCACAATCCTGCCATACCATTCCATCGATGCATCTGCAGGGTGAAGGACATGTACGCACATGTGAACCAGGAGTCAGGCCTGCCTGCGCCCTTGATCGCAGATGACGTCTACGAGATTATAATGAAGGTGTGTGTGAGTGAGAGAGAGAGCCTTATAGGAGGTCCGAGTTAAGGTCAGCATGTTCGACTGTAATGTTTGTGTTTCTATTAAGGAGGGTAGAGCATCAGCTGCACGTAACCTTCTCTTTTTCTCTCGTTCCCTCCGTCTATCCATCTCTCTGTGCGTAACAGCATGCTTAACAGCCTCTTTCATAGAAGTCTAAGAGAATTTTGTTTTCTCCTTCCACCCATCTATCCATCTTTCTGCACCTAACTACAGCATGCAGAGAGGCTAGACAGCGAGGTCATATACGACCGCGATTTTGACTATGACTACTTTGGCTTCAAAACTCTCGAGCGCTCCTATTTGCTCAAGGTGAGTCCCCCCCCTCGCCCCAGTTGTGCATGGAAGGGCACAAGGACAGGGAGATGCTAAGCAATGGGGTCATATACGACCGCGATTTTGATTATGACTACTTTGGATTTAAGACGCTTGAGCGCTCGTACCTGCTTAGGGTAAGTGGATTGCTCCAGGTGAGCGCATCTCCCTTCTTGCTCAAGGTGAGAACCTCCCTAACCACTTGTGCGTGGTGGGGTGCAAGGGAAAGGAGAGGCTAGACAGCGAGGTTATATACGACCGGGATTTTGACTGCGATTACTTTGGCTTCAAGACCCTCGAGCGCTCCTACCTGCTCAAGGTGAGACCCTCCCACCCAGTTACCCAGTTGTGCATGGAAGGGCACAAGAGGGGCTAGACAGTGAGGTCATATACGACCGCGATTTCGACTATGACTACTTTGGCTTCAAGACCCTCGAGCGCTCCTACCTGCTCAAGGTGAGTGGGCTGCTCCAGGTAAGTGGCCGCTCAAGGTGAGATTCGCTTCGGTTGTACCTATGCCTGCTGAATGTTATCACTTGTGCAGTGGTTCCGTTTTCCCACCATCGTTGCATCTCTCTCCTGTTTTCCCACCATCGTTGCATCTCTCTCCTGTTTTCCCACCATCGTTGCATCTCTCTCCTGTTTTCCCACCATCGTTGCATCTCTCTCCTGTTTTCCCACCATCGTTGCATCTCTCTCCTGTTTTCCCACCATCGTTGCATCTCTCTCCTGTTTTCCCACCATCGTTGCATCTCTCTCCTGTTTTCCCACCATCGTTGCATCTCTCTCCTGTTTTCCCACCATCGTTGCATCTCTCTCCTGTTTTCCCACCATCGTTGCATCTCTCTCCTGTTTTCCCACCATCGTTGCATCTCTCTCCTGTTTTCCCACCATCGTTGCATCTCTCTCCTGTTTTCCCACCATCGTTGCATCTCTCTCCTGTTTTCCCACCATCGTTGCATCTCTCTCCTGTTTTCCCACCATCGTTGCATCTCTCTCCTGTTTTCCCACCATCGTTGCATCTCTCTCCTGTTTTCCCACCATCGTTGCATCTCTCTCCTGTTTTCCCACCATCGTTGCATCTCTCTCCTGTTTTCCCACCATCGTTGCATCTCTCTCCTGTTTTCCCACCATCGTTGCATCTCTCTCCTGTTTTCCCACCATCGTTGCATCTCTCTCCTGTTTTCCCACCATCGTTGCATCTCTCTCCTGTTTTCCCACCATCGTTGCATCTCTCTCCTGTTTTCCCACCATCGTTGCATCTCTCTCCTGTTTTCCCACCATCGTTGCATCTCATCTCTCTCCTGTTTTCCCACCATCGTTGCATCTCTCTCCTGTTTTCCCACCATCGTTGCATCTCTCTCCTGTTTTCCCACCATCGTTGCATCTCTCTCCTGTTTTCCCACCATCGTTGCATCTCTCTCCTGTTTTCCCACCATCGTTGCATCTCTCTCCTGTTTTCCCACCATCGTTGCATCTCTCTCCTGTTTTCCCACCATCGTTGCATCTCTCTCCTGTTTTCCCACCATCGTTGCATCTCTCTCCTGTTTTCCCACCATCGTTGCATCTCTCTCCTGTTTTCCCACCATCGTTGCATCTCTCTCCTGTTTTCCCACCATCGTTGCATCTCTCTCCTGTTTTCCCACCATCGTTGCATCTCTCTCCTGTTTTCCCACCATCGTTGCATCTCTCTCCTGTTTTCCCACCATCGTTGCATCTCTCTCCTGTTTTCCCACCATCGTTGCATCTCTCTCCTGTTTTCCCACCATCGTTGCATCTCTCTCCTGTTTTCCCACCATCGTTGCATCTCTCTCCTGTTTTCCCACCATCGTTGCATCTCTCTCCTGTTTTCCCACCATCGTTGCATCTCTCTCCTGTTTTCCCACCATCGTTGCATCTCTCTCCTGTTTTCCCACCATCGTTGCATCTCTCTCCTGTTTTCCCACCATCGTTGCATCTCTCTCCTGTTTTCCCACCATCGTTGCATCTCTCTCCTGTTTTCCCACCATCGTTGCATCTCTCTCCTGTTTTCCCACCATCGTTGCATCTCTCTCCTGTTTTCCCACCATCGTTGCATCTCTCTCCTGTTTTCCCACCATCGTTGCATCTCTCTCCTGTTTTCCCACCATCGTTGCATCTCTCTCCTGTTTTCCCACCATCGTTGCATCTCTCTCCTGTTTTCCCACCATCGTTGCATCTCTCTCCTGTTTTCCCACCATCGTTGCATCTCTCTCCTGTTTTCCCACCATCGTTGCATCTCTCTCCTGTTTTCCCACCATCGTTGCATCTCTCTCCTGTTTTCCCACCATCGTTGCATCTCTCTCCTGTTTTCCCACCATCGTTGCATCTCTCTCCTGTTTTCCCACCATCGTTGCATCTCTCTCCTGTTTTCCCACCATCGTTGCATCTCTCTCCTGTTTTCCCACCATCGTTGCATCTCTCTCCTGTTTTCCCACCATCGTTGCATCTCTCTCCTGTTTTCCCACCATCGTTGCATCTCTCTCCTGTTTTCCCACCATCGTTGCATCTCTCTCCTGTTTTCCCACCATCGTTGCATCTCTCTCCTGTTTTCCCACCATCGTTGCATCTCTCTCCTGTTTTCCCACCATCGTTGCATCTCTCTCCTGTTTTCCCACCATCGTTGCATCTCTCTCCTGTTTTCCCACCATCGTTGCATCTCTCTCCTGTTTTCCCACCATCGTTGCATCTCTCTCCTGTTTTCCCACCATCGTTGCATCTCTCTCCTGTTTTCCCACCATCGTTGCATCTCTCTCCTGTTTTCCCACCATCGTTGCATCTCTCTCCTGTTTTCCCACCATCGTTGCATCTCTCTCCTGTTTTCCCACCATCGTTGCATCTCTCTCCTGTTTTCCCACCATCGTTGCATCTCTCTCCTGTTTTCCCACCATCGTTGCATCTCTCTCCTGTTTTCCCACCATCGTTGCATCTCTCTCCTGTTTTCCCACCATCGTTGCATCTCTCTCCTGTTTTCCCACCATCGTTGCATCTCTCTCCTGTTTTCCCACCATCGTTGCATCTCTCTCCTGTTTTCCCACCATCGTTGCATCTCTCTCCTGTTTTCCCACCATCGTTGCATCTCTCTCCTGTTTTCCCACCATCGTTGCATCTCTCTCCTGTTTTCCCACCATCGTTGCATCTCTCTCCTGTTTTCCCACCATCGTTGCATCTCTCTCCTGTTTTCCCACCATCGTTGCATCTCTCTCCTGTTTTCCCACCATCGTTGCATCTCTCTCCTGTTTTCCCACCATCGTTGCATCTCTCTCCTGTTTTCCCACCATCGTTGCATCTCTCTCCTGTTTTCCCACCATCGTTGCATCTCTCTCCTGTTTTCCCACCATCGTTGCATCTCTCTCCTGTTTTCCCACCATCGTTGCATCTCTCTCCTGTTTTCCCACCATCGTTGCATCTCTCTCCTGTTTTCCCACCATCGTTGCATCTCTCTCCTGTTTTCCCACCATCGTTGCATCTCTCTCCTGTTTTCCCACCATCGTTGCATCTCTCTCCTGTTTTCCCACCATCGTTGCATCTCTCTCCTGTTTTCCCACCATCGTTGCATCTCTCTCCTGTTTTCCCACCATCGTTGCATCTCTCTCCTGTTTTCCCACCATCGTTGCATCTCTCTCCTGTTTTCCCACCATCGTTGCATCTCTCTCCTGTTTTCCCACCATCGTTGCATCTCTCTCCTGTTTTCCCACCATCGTTGCATCTCTCTCCTGTTTTCCCACCATCGTTGCATCTCTCTCCTGTTTTCCCACCATCGTTGCATCTCTCTCCTGTTTTCCCACCATCGTTGCATCTCTCTCCTGTTTTCCCACCATCGTTGCATCTCTCTCCTGTTTTCCCACCATCGTTGCATCTCTCTCCTGTTTTCCCACCATCGTTGCATCTCTCTCCTGTTTTCCCACCATCGTTGCATCTCTCTCCTGTTTTCCCACCATCGTTGCATCTCTCTCCTGTTTTCCCACCATCGTTGCATCTCTCTCCTGTTTTCCCACCATCGTTGCATCTCTCTCCTGTTTTCCCACCATCGTTGCATCTCTCTCCTGTTTTCCCACCATCGTTGCATCTCTCTCCTGTTTTCCCACCATCGTTGCATCTCTCTCCTGTTTTCCCACCATCGTTGCATCTCTCTCCTGTTTTCCCACCATCGTTGCATCTCTCTCCTGTTTTCCCACCATCGTTGCATCTCTCTCCTGTTTTCCCACCATCGTTGCATCTCTCTCCTGTTTTCCCACCATCGTTGCATCTCTCTCCTGTTTTCCCACCATCGTTGCATCTCTCTCCTGTTTTCCCACCATCGTTGCATCTCTCTCCTGTTTTCCCACCATCGTTGCATCTCTCTCCTGTTTTCCCACCATCGTTGCATCTCTCTCCTGTTTTCCCACCATCGTTGCATCTCTCTCCTGTTTTCCCACCATCGTTGCATCTCTCTCCTGTTTTCCCACCATCGTTGCATCTCTCTCCTGTTTTCCCACCATCGTTGCATCTCTCTCCTGTTTTCCCACCATCGTTGCATCTCTCTCCTGTTTTCCCACCATCGTTGCATCTCTCTCCTGTTTTCCCACCATCGTTGCATCTCTCTCCTGTTTTCCCACCATCGTTGCATCTCTCTCCTGTTTTCCCACCATCGTTGCATCTCTCTCCTGTTTTCCCACCATCGTTGCATCTCTCTCCTGTTTTCCCACCATCGTTGCATCTCTCTCCTGTTTTCCCACCATCGTTGCATCTCTCTCCTGTTTTCCCACCATCGTTGCATCTCTCTCCTGTTTTCCCACCATCGTTGCATCTCTCTCCTGTTTTCCCACCATCGTTGCATCTCTCTCCTGTTTTCCCACCATCGTTGCATCTCTCTCCTGTTTTCCCACCATCGTTGCATCTCTCTCCTGTTTTCCCACCATCGTTGCATCTCTCTCCTGTTTTCCCACCATCGTTGCATCTCTCTCCTGTTTTCCCACCATCGTTGCATCTCTCTCCTGTTTTCCCACCATCGTTGCATCTCTCTCCTGTTTTCCCACCATCGTTGCATCTCTCTCCTGTTTTCCCACCATCGTTGCATCTCTCTCACTAGTTCTCTTCCAGGTCAAGGCAATGCATGGTGGTGGTGCGACCGCAGCGCATGCTGCTGCGAGTGGCGATGGGGATTCACAAGCTGGGTATTTGCATCTCGTTTTCTTACTTACATACCCTTTCTCTCCCCTCTCTCCCTTGTCTCCTCAATTTTTCCTGCCAGGTGAACGGAAAGGTTGTTGAGCGACCGCAGCACATGCTGATGCGAGTGGCGGTGGGGATTCACAAGGCGGACATAGAGGCAGCCGTGCAGACCTACCACCTCATGTCCCAGCGATGGTTCACACATGCATCTCCCACGCTCTTCAACAGTGGCACCCCGAGGCCTCAGGTAGGTCTGGCTGTCTGAATCCCCCTGCAGTTTGGTGTGGTCACAAGGGGATGAGCATTGATGCGTTCGCAAGGAGGACATAGAGGCAGCCGTGCAGACTTACCACCTCATGTCGCAGCGCTGGTTCACCGACGGGGCGGGATGAGGCAAAGCTGAAGATATTGGAGGCGTACATGTGTGCAAACCACCTTTTTGTGAACCATGAGACTGTGAGTTGTGATGATGACTTGGTGTGATTTGAGTTGTTTCAATGCACATTTAGGTTGTGGCACACACGCGTGTATGAGCCACAATCTGAATGCGCATTGAGTCAACTTGAATTACACCAAGGCATCATCACAACTCACAGTCTCATTGTCCACAAAGAGGTGGTTTGAACGCATGTACGCCTCCAATATCTCCCTTGTGTCTATCGCTCTCTTTCCCCACACTCTTCTCTTGTGGCCACAATCTGATTTTCCCCTTCCCTTATGCCTATCGCTCTCTTTCCCCACACTCTTCTCTGAGCAGCTGAGCAGCTGCTTCCTCGTCTGTATGAAGGAGGACAGCATCGAGGGCATCTACGACACGCTCAAGGAGTGCTCTCTCACTAGTCTTACCTCTACTCTACCCGTGTCGTGCATTCCCCCCCACACCAGCTGAGCAGCTGTTTTCTCGTGTGCATGAAGGAGGACAGCATTGAGGGCAATTACGACTCGCTCAAGGAGTGACCTGGTTTTCCCCTTCCTTTTGCCCCTCACTTCCCCCTGGGCTGTTCCTTTGACCAGCTGAGCAGCTGCTTCCTGGTGTGTATGAAGGAGGACAGCATAGAGGGCATCTACGACACGCTCAAGGAGCGACCTTTCACTGGCTATATCCTGCCTATTTTTCCTTTTCTCTTCTGTCCCGTGGCTTCCAGCTGAGCAGCTGCTTCCTGGTGTGTATGAAGGAGGACAGCATAGAGGGCATCTACGACACGCTCAAGGAGCGACCTTTCACTGGCTATATCCTGCCTATTTTTCCTTTTCTCTTCTGTCCCGTGGCTTCCAGCTGAGCAGCTGCTTCCTGGTGTGTATGAAGGAGGACAGCATAGAGGGCATCTACGACACGCTCAAGGAGTGCGCAGTGATCAGCAAGTCAGCGGGCGGCATTGGCTTGTCCGCACACTGCATCCGCGCCAAGGGCAGCTACATTAGAGGGACTAATGGCATGTCGAACGGCATTGTGCCGATGCTGAGGGTGTTCAATGACACGGCGAGATACGTGGACCAGGGCGGCGGCAAGCGTAAAGGTAGGTTTTGGTGGGTAGGGTTCTGGGTTTGGTTTTTGAGTTGAGTGTTTGCCTGGATATGTGATGCTGTTCTGTGAGGGTGCCCATGCTGTGAGAGTGGTCAACGAGACAGCATGATGTGTGATAGTTGCCTCGCCTCTTCCTCTTTCTCTCCAACCACCATTGCCATTGTCGCTGTTCCCCTACCATCCATCTTTTCCGTTTTTCAGGTGCCTTTGCTATTTACATCGAGCCGTGGCATTCAGACGTGTTTGACTTCCTTGACCTGCGGAAGAACCACGGAAAAGAAGAGAACAGGGCGAGAGACCTCTTTTACGGGCTGTGGATTCCTGACCTCTTCATGCAACGAGTGCAGGTGAGCACAGACGCACACCCCTGTTGACTTGCTTGACTCGTTTGACTTTCTGAAGAAGAACTTGTGGCAAGGAGGAGAAGTGGGCGAGAGACCTCTTTTATGGGCTGTGGATCCCCGATCTCTTCATGCAACGCGTTCACTTGACCTGAGGAAGAATCACGGCAAGGAGGAGAACCGAGCAAGGGATCTCTTGTACGGGCTGTGGATCCCCGACCTCTTCATGCAACTCGTGCAGGTGAGAACGGACGGACGCACTGCCCTGCTGACTCTCATGGCTTGTTGGACCTGAGGAAGAACCACAGCAAGAACCTTGTTTTGAGTCGACTCAAAACAAAGCAAGGGACCTGTTCTACAGGGCTATGGATCCCTGACCTATTCATGCAACTCGTGCAGTCCAACATGCCCTGGTCGCTCTTCTGCCCCAACGAGGCCCCAGGTCTCGCCTGGCTGCTGTATATCACAGATTCGTTTCCGCCCCTTCACTTAATCCTTCCCTCCCTCCTCCGCATCCCCCCCCCCCCCTCCTCCACAGTCCAACATGCCCTGGTCGCTCTTCTGTCCCAACATAGCCCCTAGCCTGGCCTGGTTGCTTCATATTAGCCTCTCCATTTCCGCCTCACCACTTCCCCCTCTCTATTCCCCCTCCTTTCCAATCAATCTCCCCTTCCCCCCCCAGTCCAACATGCCCTGGTCGCTCTTCTGTCCCAACGAGGCCCCTGGCCTGGCGGACTGCTGGGGGGAGGAGTTTGAGGCGCTCTACCTCAGATACGAGCGGGAGGTGAGTGCGTGGCTGGTAGGGACGTGTTTGTAGCAGAATCAGAAATGACTGGTTGGAGCTTGTCTGCCCTGGCGGACTGCTGGGGGGAGATGTTCGAGACGCTGTACCTCAGATACGAGAGGGAGGTGGGTGGTGGCAGACAGGGGCATGTTTGTAAGAATTAGAAATGTTGGCCTGACTTGTTAAATTGGATCTTGGCTTGTCACCCGCTTGGCTTAGGGCCCAGCCTAGCGCAAAACACTGTCGTTTGCCTCTTTTGAGGCGCCTCAAAAGTCTTGGCTTGTCACCCGCTTGGCTTACGGCCAAGCCTAGCGCGCAACACTGTGGTTTGCCTCTGCCACAAGGGCCGAGCCTAGGCCATCAAGGTACCCTCCGGACTCTGATACGTACCCCTTTCCGCCCCTCTTCCCATCCAACCTCTCTTCTCCCATATGGCCGAGGCTAGCGCAGCGCCTGACACTGTGGCAGCAGCTGTGGTTCGCTTCATTCAACTTCCCCTCTGTGGTTTTCCAGAGGTCTCTCACTGAGACTCCCCCTGCCCTGCCTTCCCCTCCAACTCCCCCTCTCCCTTCAGGGCCGAGCCAAGCGGGTGATACCGTCACAGAAGCTCTGGTTTGCAATCTGTGAAGCATAGTTGTCCCCTTTTCCCCTTCTTCTGTCCCATTGCCCTCCCCGTTTCTCCTCTCCCTTCAGGGCCGAGCCAAGCGGGTGATACCGTCACAGAAGCTCTGGTTTGCAATCTGTGAGGCGCAGATTGAGACAGGCAATCCGTACATGCTGTTCAAGGTGAGAGCTGCTGTGGTCTGCGTGTGGAGTATGGTGGTGTTGTTTGCTCTTCTGTGCTTTCTGAGTCGACACAAACGCCATCTGTGAGGCGCGCACGAGTTAAGAAGAAACTTGTTTTAGAAGCAACACGCCAACACTTCGGGGCAACCAGTGCTGCTGAATGCCCTTCGCTAAAGCACCCTCCCTCCCTTCCCACGCCCTTCTCCTCTTCCCACGAGCAGGACGCGTGCAATCGCAAGTCGAACCAGCAGAACCTGGGAACCATCAAGTGCAGCAACCTGTGCACAGAGATTGTCGAATATACCAGCCCTGAGGAAACTGCAGTGTGCAACCTTGTGTCCATCGCCCTGCCACGATTCGTGCGAGAAAAGGTGAGAGAAGGTTGGGATAGTGAGGTGGCACAGTGGTGGGGAGTGTGGGCACCATCAAGTGCAGCAACCTGTGTGCACTGAGATCGTTGAGTTCACCAGCCCTGAAGAGACTGCTATCTGCGACCCTTGTGTTTCTCGCTCCTCACGCTTGCCTGCCAATTGATGCCATCTGTTCCGCAGGGGGTGCTGTCTGAAGCTATTTTTGAGAGAGAGAGAAAAAAACATATCACGTGTCCTGGCCATTAATGCTGTGTGTGCTGCAGGGGGTGCTGTTTGATTTGAAGCCTTTTTTTAGAATTCTCAAAAAGCATATCGCGTGTCCTGGCCATAAATGCTGTGTGTGGTGCAGGGGGTGCCGTCTGAAGCCCATCCGTCCAAGCTGACTGGAAGCCTCAACCACGACCAGCGATTCTTCGACTTTGAGAAGCTGGGCGAGGTGAGATGACCCGTGCCTTTCCTCCCTTACATTCTCAACTTGCTCCGTGTTGCTACTCTTACTTACCCCACCCACCACTCCTCCCTTCTGATTCCCTGCCCGCGTCCGTCCCCCCATTCTCACACCACCTTAGATCGCCATGTTTGTATCGTGTACCCTCAACAGAGTCATCAACGTTAACTACTATCCCACCCTCACCCACCTCTCCCTCCCGTTCCCCACTTGCTTCCATCTCCCCACGGTCCCCACTTACTCATTCCTCCCCCTTGCCCCTCCCCTTGCCTGCAACCCCCAGATCACGGAGGTGGTGACACGCAATCTCAACAGAGTCATCGACGTCAACTACTATCCCACCGAGTCAGCCCGTCGCTCCAACATGCGCCACCGGCCCATCGGCCTGGGCGTGCAGGGGCTGGCAGACGCTTTCATTCTTCTCGGCTTGCCCTTTGACTCGCCTCAGGTATGTGGTACATACGAGGTCTGTATCGAGAACACAAGGTGGGGAAAGGAAGAGGCGGCTTCAGGCGGCTCGTCTCAGCATGTGCCACCGGCCCATCGGCCTGGGCGTGCAGGGGCTGGCCCATCGCTTTCATCGTTCTCGGCATGCCCTTTGACTCGCCTCAAGTATGTGGTACATGCGAGGTTTGGTATGGAGGGCACATAAACCCCTCTAGCTCTTCAACTCCCCCCTTTCAACTACTCTCCCTCTCACTTGCCCCCATTTTCAATTTCTTTCCTCTCATTCAACTGCTCCGGCAGTTTGCTCAGCTGGCGGATACGCAGAAGTTGTTGGTAGAGGACTGCAGAGCAAGGTGGAGCGGTTGAATGGACAGGTGGAGCAGTTGAATGGGCAGGTGTAGCAGTGAATGGGAGGAAATCCGACTGCTCCACCTGCCATTCGACTGCTCCACCTGCCATTCGACTGCTCCACCTGCCCATTCAAGCGCTCCACCTTGCTCTGCAGCTCCTTTACCAACAACTTCTGCGAATCCGCCAGAGCACACTGCAGGAGCAGTTGAATGGGAGGAAATTATCTACTACCACGCATTGCACACATCATACCAGCTCGTTCATTCGTCTTTGTCCGTTTCTCACAGCTCCTCCTCTCCCTTCCCCTCCTTCCTTCTTGCCCATTGCTATCCCTCAGGCGCGACAACTGAGTCGGGGCATATACCACGCTCTCCGCACGTCATTTTGAGACGTCTCAAAACTACACTTTTATTACGTTGCCCACTGCTATCCATCAGGCGCGACAACTGAACCGGGATATCTTTGAGACCATCTACTACCACTGCTGCGCACGTCGTGCCGCCTCAAACCATGTGTTGTCTTTGTCCTTCATCTCACACCCCCCTCCCTCCCCTCCGCCTTTTCAGGCCCGACAATTGAACCGGGATATATTCGAGACCATCTACTACCACGCTCTCCGCACGTCGTGCCAGCTGGCGAAGGAGGAAGGCACGTACTTGTCGTACCCCGGCTGCCCCGTCAGCAAGGTATGTTGCTGACGGAAGTTTTAAGTTTGGGTGAGATGTACGTTGGAAGCATTTCTGAAGAAGTGGCATTTCACCGCGTGGCTGACCGACTTGTTTCTCTTTGTTTCTTTGTTTGTTTGTTTGCTCATCATTTTTTTTTTTTTTTTTTTTTTTTCTGCTGGTTCAATTCCTGTGCCCACTTCCTCTTATCCTGCTTTCCGCCATACTCATCCCCCTCCCCTCCTCCCCCTCCCCTCCTCCCCACCTCTCCTCCCTTCTCCCCAAACTCTCCCAGGGCATTCTCCAACCGGACATGTGGGGAGTGACCCCTTCGGACCGCTGGGACTGGGCAGCACTGCGGGCCGACATAGCGGCTCACGGGCTGCACAACTCCCTGCTCGTGGCGCCCATGCTCACCTCATGCCCTGTGTGTGTCTCTTCTTGCCCACCGCCCCACTTCTCCAGGGCGTCCTGCAACCGGACATGTGGAGTGTGACCCCTTCGGACCGCTGGGACTGGGCGGCACTGCGGGCCGACATAGCGGCTCACGGGCTGCGCAATTCCCTCCTGGTGGCGCCCATGCCCACGGCCTCCACGAGTCAAATCCTGGGGAACAACGAGTGCTTCGAGCCGTACACCTCCAACATCTACTCGAGACGAGTTCTCAGGTGAGTCAGATGAGGTTTGAAGAAAGTTTTGGGTGGGTCGGACGGGTGAGGGGAATTCCCCGCTGGTAGCACCCATGCCCACAGCTTCTACCAGCCAGATCCTGGGGAACAACGAGTGCTTTGAGCCGTACACCTCCAACATCTACTCGAGACGAGTTCTCAGGTACGTGGGATTAGTTGTAAGGTAAGTGTGATGGAGATTTCCTGCTGCTGGCTCCATGCCCACAGCTCCTACCAGCCATATCCTGGGGAACAACGAGTGCTTTGAGCCGTACACCTCCAACATCTACTCGAGACGAGTTCTCAGGTGAGTCAGATGAGGTTTGAAGAAAGTTTTGGGTGGGTCGGACGGGTGAGGGGAATTCCCCGCTGGTAGCACCCATGCCCACAGCTTCTACCAGCCAGATCCTGGGGAACAACGAGTGCTTTGAGCCGTACACCTCCAACATCTACTCGAGACGAGTTCTCAGGTACGTGGGATTAGTTGTAAGGTAAGTGTGATGGAGATTTCCTGCTGCTGGCTCCATGCCCACAGCTCCTACCAGCCATATCCTGGGGAACAACGAGTGCTTTGAGCCGTACACCTCCAACATCTACTCGAGACGAGTTCTCAGGTACGTGGGATTAGTTGTAAGGTAAGTGTGATGGAGATTTCCTGCTGCTGGCTCCATGCCCACAGCTCCTACCAGCCAGATCCTGGGGAACAACGAGTGCTTTGAGCCGTACACCTCCAACATCTACTCGAGACGAGTTCTCAGGTACGTGGGATTAGTTGTAAGGTAAGTGTGATGGAGATTTCCTGCTGCTGGCTCCATGCCCACAGCTCCTACCAGCCATATCCTGGGGAACAACGAGTGCTTTGAGCCGTACACCTCCAACATCTACTCGAGACGAGTTCTCAGGTACGTGGGATTAGTTGTAAGGTAAGTGTGATGGAGATTTCCTGCTGTGGCTCCATGCCCACAGCTCCTACCAGCCAGATCCTGGGGAACAACGAGTGCTTTGAGCCGTACACCTCCAACATCTACTCGAGACGAGTTCTCAGGTAAGTCAGATGAGGTTGTAAGTTTTGGGTCGGTTGGGTATCTCCCTGCTCGTAGCGCCCATGCCCATGGCTTCTACGAGTCAAGGCGTTGTTAAGGAGGCACTAAGAATGGAATCCCGTTCTCCCCTGTTCCTATACTCCCTCTCTTCCACCAAAACCCCCACTCCTCTCCCCCCCCCTTTCGTGTAGTGGCGAGTTCGTGGTGGTGAACAAGCATCTGCTCAGCGACTTGACACATCTGGGCGTCTGAGTGACAGACAGGCCTTACACGCCCCTGCATCGCACTCCCTCCCTCCCACCCCTGCCCACCCGCCTTCTCCTCTCCCCCCCCTTTGTGCAGTGGCGAGGGCATGGTGGTGAACAAGCATCTGCTCAGCGACCTCACCCATCTTGGCCTCTGGTTGACAGCCGTAGCACGCCCTAAAAAAGCAATCCTTTTCTCCCCTGTTCCCCTCTCCCTCCCCCTCTCTCCCCCCCTCCCAGTGGCGAGTTCATGGTGGTGAACAAGCATCTGCTCAGCGACCTCACCCATCTGGGCCTCTGGTGGACAAGCCATGGGACGGCCTAAGACAACACTTCCTCTCTCCCCTGTTCCCCCCCCCCCTATCCTCTCCTCTCCCCATCCCAGTGGCGAGTGCATGGTGGTGAACAAGCATCTGCTCAGCGACCTCACCCATCTCGGCCTCTGGTGGACAAGCCATGGGACGGCCTAAGACAACACTTCCTCTCTCCCCTGTTCCCCCCCCCCCCTATCCTCTCCTCTCCCCATCCCAGTGGCGAGTGCATGGTGGTGAACAAGCATCTGCTCAGCGACCTCACCCATCTGGGCCTCTGGTGGACAAGCCATGGGACGGCCTAAGACAACACTTCCTCTCTCCCCTGTTCCCCCCCCCCCCCTCTCCTCTCCTCTCCCCATCCCAGTGGCGAGTGCATGGTGGTGAACAAGCATCTGCTCAGCGACCTCACCCATCTGGGCCTCTGGTGGACAAGCCATGGGACGGCCTAAGACAACACTTCCTCTCTCCCCTGTTCCCCCCCCCCCCCTCTCCTCTCCTCTCCCCATCCCAGTGGCGAGTGCATGGTGGTGAACAAGCATCTGCTCAGCGACCTCACCCATCTCGGCCTCTGGTGGACAAGCCATGGGACGGCCTAAGACAACACTTCCTCTCTCCCCTGTTCCCCCCCCCCCCCTCTCCTCTCCTCTCCCCATCCCAGTGGCGAGTGCATGGTGGTGAACAAGCATCTGCTCAGCGACCTCACCCATCTGGGCCTCTGGTGGACAAGCCATGGGACGGCCTAAGACAACACTTCCTCTCTCCCCTGTTCCCCCCCCCCCCTCTCCTCTCCTCTCCCCATCCCAGTGGCGAGTGCATGGTGGTGAACAAGCATCTGCTCAGCGACCTCACCCATCTCGGCCTCTGGTGGACAAGCCATGGGACGGCCTAAGACAACACTTCCTCTCTCCCCTGTTCCCCCCCCCCCCCTCTCCTCTCCTCTCCCCATCCCAGTGGCGAGTGCATGGTGGTGAACAAGCATCTGCTCAGCGACCTCACCCATCTCGGCCTCTGGTGGACAAGCCATGGGACGGCCTAAGACAACACTTCCTCTCTCCCCTGTTCCCCCCCCCCCCTCTCCTCTCCTCTCCCCATCCCAGTGGCGAGTGCATGGTGGTGAACAAGCATCTGCTCAGCGACCTCACCCATCTGGGCCTCTGGTGGACAAGCCATGGGACGGCCTAAGACAACACTTCCTCTCTCCCCTGTTCCCCCCCCCCCCTCTCCTCTCCTCTCCCCATCCCAGTGGCGAGTGCATGGTGGTGAACAAGCATCTGCTCAGCGACCTCACCCATCTCGGCCTCTGGTGGACAAGCCATGGGACGGCCTAAGACAACACTTCCTCTCTCCCCTGTTCCCCCCCCCCCCCTCTCCTCTCCTCTCCCCATCCCAGTGGCGAGTGCATGGTGGTGAACAAGCATCTGCTCAGCGACCTCACCCATCTGGGCCTCTGGTGGACAAGCCATGGGACGGCCTAAGACAACACTTCCTCTCTCCCCTGTTCCCCCCCCCCCTCTCCTCTCCTCTCCCCATCCCAGTGGCGAGTGCATGGTGGTGAACAAGCATCTGCTCAGCGACCTCACCCATCTCGGCCTCTGGTGGACAAGCCATGGGACGGCCTAAGACAACACTTCCTCTCTCCCCTGTTCCCCCCCCCCCCCTCTCCTCTCCTCTCCCCATCCCAGTGGCGAGTGCATGGTGGTGAACAAGCATCTGCTCAGCGACCTCACCCATCTCAGCCCCTCGAAGGCAAGCCTCAAGGAGGCACTAAGAAGGCAACCCCCTTCTCCCCTGCCCCCCCATGTCTCTGTGCTCCCCCACCCCCCTCCCGTGCAGTGGGGGGAGTTTGTGGTGGTGAACAAGCATTTACTCAACGACCTCACCCATCTGGGCTTGTGGTCGCCCGACCTCAAGAATGAGATCATGTACCGCAATGGATTAATAGCGCCCCTGCATGACTGTCCCTTTCACGTCTTTCCACCACTCTACACTCCAGTCCTTACCTTCCCCCTCCACCCTCTAACCCCCTCCCCTTTGTGCAGTGGCGAGTTTGTGGTGGTGAACAAGCATTTACTCAACGACTTGACACATCTGGGCCTGTGGTCGCCCGACCTCAAGAATGAGATCATGTACCGCAACGGGTCTGTGGAGGGGATTGACGAGATCCCACAGCGCCTAAGAGACATCTACAAGTGAGTTGGTGCAAGCAACGTATGGCTGGTGGTCATACACACAGTCTGTGGTGGTAACCAGGTAACCACTGGTCGCCCGACCTCAAGAATGAGATCATGTACCGCAACGGGTCTGTGGAGGGGATTGATGAGATTCCTCAACACCTGAGGGACATCTACAAGTGAGTCTGGGTGGTGGTACCAGGGGAGCTTACAAATAGAGTGGTGGTAACCAGGTAACCGCTGGTCGCCCGACCTCAAGAACGAGATCATGTACCGCAACGGGTCCGTGGAGGGGATTGATGAGATTCCACAACACCTAAGAGACATCTACAAGTGAGTGTGACTGTTTATGTATGTTGAGCGCTTTTCCTGAGCCAGTCGCTCACCACTCACTCCTCTGGCCGTACCCATCATCTGGATTCTCTTGTCTGTGTGATGTGTGTACGTGTGCCTGTATTGAGCAGGACGGTGTGGGAGATGAAGCAGAGGGCGATTGTGGACATGGCAGCAGACAGAGGGGCGTTTATCGACCAGAGCCAGAGCCAATCAGTCAACACTCCTCTGGCTCTAACAATAATCTGGATTCTGTTGTCTGTGTATTGCGTGGGTGTGCTTGTGCTGAGCAGGACGGTGTGGGAGCTGAAGCAGAGGGCGATAGTGGACATGGCAGCAGACAGAGGGGCGTTCATCGACCAGAGCCAGTCACTCAACATCCACATGGATGCTCCCACCTTCGGCAAACTGACGTCTTTGCATTTCTACACGTGGGGCAAGGTGAGCGCATCTCTTGGGGTTACATGAGAATCTCTTGGGATGGGAGGTCTGCGTGCATGGGGATCTCTGCTGTCAGTTTATCGATCAGAGCCAGTCACTCAACATCCACATGGACGCTCCCACCTTTGGCAAGCTCACATCTCTCCACTTCTACACGTGGGGCAAGGTGGGTGCACCTATCAGGGTGTGAGCGCATTTGTTGAGGAGTTGTTTACGAGGGTGTGAATGCATGGGAGTAAGTGCTGTTAGTTCATTGGACATCCAGGGCCAGTCGCTCAACTCAACATCCACATGGATGCTCCTACCTTCGGCAAGCTCACATCCTTGCATTTCTACACGTGGGGCAAGGTGAGTGCATCTTGGGGGGGTACTATCAGGGCGTGGGCGCATGGGTGTGGGGTGAGGTGTATTTTGAGGCGCCTCGTGCAGTGAGGTGTATTTTGAGGCGCCTCAAAATACACCTCACTGCACTTGCATTTCTACACGTGGGGCAAGGTGAGTGCATCTTGGGGGGGTACTATCAGGGCGTGGGCGCATGGGTGTGGGGTGAGGTGTATTTTGAGGCGCCTCGTGCAGTGAGGTGTATTTTGAGGCGCCTCAAAATACACCTCACTGCACTTGCATTTCTACACGTGGGGCAAGGTGAGTGCATCTTGGGGGGGTACTATCAGGGCGTGGGCGCATGGGTGTGGGGGCATGGGCGTGGGGGCATGGGCGTGGCTGGTGTTAGTTTATCGACCAAAGCCAGCCTCTCAACATCCACATGGAAGCTCCCACCTTTGGCAAGCTCACATCTCTCCACTTCTACACGTGGGGCAATGCAATGTAGGTGCTCTTGTCACGTGGGGCACGTGGTAGTGCCTCATGTCACCCATTCAGTTGGCCTTTTGTATCAACTCATGACTGTTTGTTGCTTTAGCTTGGTGCATGCAGGGCTTGAAGATGTGCCAGGCAGGTACTACCTGAGAACGAGGGGAGCTGCAGATGCCTTCAAGTTGCTGAGAAAACTCATTAGTGCCTGGCACTCACATGAACACGCCTCACTCCATACACTCCACTTGTGGTGCATGCAGGGCTTGAAGACGGGCATGTACTATTTGAGAACGAGGGGAGCAGCAGATGCCATCAAGTTCACCGTCGATGCAGAAGCCGCCAAAAGGGTATGCTCCCATTGCGAAGGCAGGGGGGGGGGCTGAATGCGTTGACAGGTGAGCGATTAGTACGCAATGCGATTGAGAACGAGGGGAGCAGCAGATGCCATCAAGTTCACAGTCGATGCAGAAGCCGCCAAAAGGGTATGCTCCCATTGCGAAGGCAGGGCAGGGAAGGTGAGAGGTCGGTGTGGTGGGTGGAGTGGGGTTGCATCGGTGTTACTTTTGAGAATTCTCAAAAGTAACACCAATATAGATGGGTTGCATCTCATAAGGGGAGTTGATAGGAGGTCTGCATGCCAGGGGTTTTACAGAGGTTGAAGAGTCTGGAAACGGTAACAGTGTAACGAAGGAAGGTGAATGAGATAGAATCCCTATACTCAAAAGGTACTGGCCGGTTTAGATCGCCAGATGGATAGAATTCCTCTCTCCCACCTCCTGCTCCCTTTCCCCTTTAACCCTGCCTCTACGAGAGTCAGGAGAGGAGAACGAGGGAGACGGAGATTCAAGCACGGCTGGCAGAGATGACATGCTCCTTGGAAGGAGGCAGGGATGCAAGGCATGCCATTCGGTGTGGCTGAGTTGAAATAACCCTTCACTCACTACCTGTCTCGCCTCACTCACTTCCCTTCTCTCCCTTCCCCCTCGCACACACACTCTTCAACAGAGCCAGGAAAGGAGAGTGAGGGAGGCAGAGATGCAAGCACGGCTGGCAGAGATGACATGCTCCTTGGAGAACAGAGACGGTTGCGTTTCATGTGGCAGTTAACACGGGCGTTTCATGTGCACGTGAAGCGTACGTCTCATGTGGCAGTTGACATGAATGGTTCATCCGCACGTGAAGTGTACGCTGCATGGCGCTAGGTCACTGCCTACCTAGTCTCTAGGTTTTGCTTAGGTTGGCAGGTAGGCAGCACGCCTCTTAGTTGCATGCAAAGTTTTACACTAAGGGTATACGTGCAGTGCTGTTGGCATGGTGTCAGCACGGTGTTTTACATGTTGATTTTTGCATCGTACGGGAGTCCCAACCCAGCTAGCCACTACGTAACGTAACTCCCGAGGGTGCACAGAGAGGAAGGAGATCACAGCCCAAGGTCTGGCAAGAGCATTACAGAGGGCCAGTAAGCATCAAACACTGGAAAGTTGCACAACGTTTCATAAAAGAGTGGCACAGTTGGCATGGCAGACCATTCTACACTGCTGCAAGGTAGAGGGCGACTGACAGAGGCCCAGACTGGCCAGTCTTTCAGCTAATCCTTGCCGGCATTTAAGAGCTCTAGCAGAAAGGTGAATCGATTAAGGATGTGGAGGTAGAGAACAACAGCAGCCCAGATGTTCTCGTCGTAACTTTTGAGTCGACTCAAAAGTCGCAGAAAGGTGAAGAGATGAAGGATCTCGAGGTAGAGAACAACAGCGGCCCAGATGTTCTCGTCGTACGAGTAGCGGTGGAGGAGGGGAGGCAGTGTTCGAAGAGCATGCTACAACAAACGAATGCTCTCCCAAACAGGTCCTTTGCCCCTTGAGCTAATCGTTGCTGGCGTTGAGTAGCTCTAGCAGGAAGGTAATCAGGTTGAGAATATCTGTTCTAGATAGAGAGCCACTGACGCCCATATGTACTCGTCGTACGAGTAGCGGTGGAGCAGGGATGCCGTATCGTAGATGACGCTACTCGTACCACAAGCCCACCCGAACAGGTCCTTCTGTCCCTTGATCTAATCGTTGCTGGCGTTGAGTAGCTCTAGCAGGAAGGTAAACAGGTTGAGGATGTCGAGATAAAGGGCCACTGAGGCCCATATGTATTCGTCGTATGAGTAGCGGTGGAGCAGGGATGCTATGTCGTAGATGATGTAGAGGCTGAATATGATGGAGGGAGCCAAGGGGCTGCAGTTCTTAGGGAGGCCAGCCGTTTGCGCAGTTCAGCAGTGATGAAATCTGGCTCGCCTACAGGAACCCGTGCAACGATGATGCCCTTGTCCTGGAGAGCGATACCAGGAGGCAGCTGAATCGGGTCCGGCCATCCCTGCGGTGCCCACACCTGACATTTTGCGGGCTGCACACTGAGGCCGAGCTCTGCAAACTGCTGCTGCAGGGCGGTGAAGACTGCTACAAGGCGATGCGGGGGTCCTAGTAGGTACGAGTCATCGGCGTATGACATGCAGAGGATTTCGGGGAAGGCGGTGCGGATGGCGCGGATAGCTAGCTGCTGCGTGATTGCATAGAGGAAAGGACCGCAGGGATCCCCCTGGCGGACCCCTCGCTGCGACTGAAGTGTGTGAAGCAGTGGGCCTGAGTGGAAGAGGAGAGGTGAGGGACTGGAGTAGAAAAGTCGGAAGAATGGGATGAGGCATGAAAAATCTGAAGATTGAAGGGCAGTGAACATGGATGCGTGGTGAAATGAGTTGAATGCATTTGCAACGTCGACGTTTAGGACAGCCCAGTCAGGATGGAGCTCAAGGGACGACCGAATGCCAAAAACGAGGGAACTAATGCCCGCGGAGACTCCGACCCCTAGCTGCAGATCAGGAAGAAATTGGGACTGCATTTGCTCCTTGAACATCAAAGCGACGCAACGAGAAAGAAGGCGGACGAGCACTTCACCAATTGCGATAGGGCGGACATCTGCGTTTGACTTTTTGAGAGCAATGAGCGTGGATGCTGTTAGGAAGGGAGCGAAGCGTGAAGAAGCCTTGCCAGCCAGCCAATTATTTAACACAGGGAGGAGGAAGGGGAGGAAGGAGGGATGAGCGAGGAAAGTGTCCCGTAGGTGTTCTGCCATCCATCCAGAGTGCCCTGCTGCTGCCCCCCGCGTCATGGTGCGAATGGCATCCTTAAGTAGTACTATGGGCAGCTGCGGGAGCTCCATGGGGGTGAAGGAATCGACCCATGGGAGGATGGGTTGAGTGGAGGGGGGATGTTTAGCCTGCAACCTGTCAACAGTTTCAGCTGTTGGGGGTGCAAGCTCTCCTGCCTGTAAAGCTCCATAAGCACGTGACCACTCTCCCACAGAGGCAAAACGAAGGCATCTCTGCACACGGGTGAAGGACCTGCTGCACCATGTGTGACTGAGTCAGGGTAATGGTGCGGCGTGCTCTGTCCCGGGTGATCTGTAAGCCAAGGTAGCTGCGCAGTTCACCCAGGTCTGTGCACGTGTGTCTCTTCTGCAGCTCGGACTTCACGTGGGCGAGTCCAGCAGTGTCAGCTGTGGCGAAGACCAAGTCGTCGACGTACACGAGGATGTAGAACGGCGGCAAAGAAGTGTCGGTGCGTAGAAACAGCGACGGGTCGGCAGTAGAGGGAGCAAACCCAAGAGCCGCAAGCGTAGTCCTCAGTGTGTCGTGCCACTCACGCGGTGCCTGGCGGAGACCGTAGACTGGCCGCCGGAGGCTCCACTGGGTGCCAGGAGGAAAGGACCCAGTGAAGCCAGGTGGGCGACGCAGCCAGATCTCCTCGTGCAGGCTGCCCTGCAAGAAAGCAGTGCTGAAGTCAAGAGAGTGCAGCTCGTAGTCGCGGTGAGCAGCTATGTGCAGCAGTACCCGAAGAGTGGTCATCTTCGGGGTGGGAGAGAAGGTCTGAAAGTAGTCAACTCCCTGCCGCTGACTGAAGCCACGAGCCACGTAACGCGCCTTGAAGACAGGCGGAGAACCCGGCGGCCGCTTCACCCTGAAAATCCACATGCCACTGACGATGTTCGCCCCAGGCGGGGGAACCTCGTCAACGTAGGTGCCTGTGGACTTCCAGGAAGCCATCTCTGCGTCCATAGCTGCCTGCCACTGAGAGGAGTAGGGACCCTCTATCGCCTCCGCGTAAGAGCGCGGAGTCGGGATGTCAAGTGCATCCGGGTCTCCCTCAGGGGTAAGCAGTACGGACACGAGATGAGGTGAAGCAGCAGCCAAACACTGGAACTCCTCCTGCCTGTCCTCAAGGACGTCCGTGCCAAGGGCACACTCACCCCCGACGGACGGAGGACAGACAGACTCAGACTCAGCAACAAGACTAGCAGCGTAGTCTAGACGACAGCGAGCAGCAAAGTCGACGAGCTCAGTAACTAGTGCAGACGCAGCAGTGGACTCAAAGGAAGGGTCAGTGACAACAGTAGCAAGGAGACGCGTGACAGTAGGACTGGCAGCACGAAGAGAGTCCGACTCCGGGTCAGGAAGAGCAGGAAGAGAGGACTCAGGAGGAGAAGGCAAAGGGGCACGCAGAGGAGCAGTGGACGGACGCAGAGACATCCGGTGCGTGCCAGGGACAGGAGGAGGACGCTGACGCGAACCACGACCACTAGTGCGAGCAGCACGGACAGGCGACGCAGGGCGAGACGCAGGCTCACGACGCTCAGCAAGACCTCCAGTAGGACCAGTGTAGGGAGAAGGCGCGGGCAGTGGGGAGGCCGGCTGTAACTGTAACTGTGACGGGACAGGCTGTGGACACTCTAAGGAAGGAGGAGGAGGACCAGTAGAAGGCGGGAGACCAAGAACCTGCTGAAGGAGTGGAACGAAGTACGGCCGAGGCCGCGCGGCGACTCCAGACACAGCAGGGACAGCACCAGTACCCCCAGCGGCAGCACCAGCGCCAGCAGCACCTCCAGCTCCAGTACCTCCAGCAGCACCAGTAGCACCCCCAGCAGGACCGCCTCCAGGACCGACAGCAGTAGCCTCAGCGCCAACACCCTCAGCAGCTCCAGCTCCAGTCGTACCCGCAGGCCCAGCAGCTCCAGTACTCCCAGTACGAGCACCTCCGGGACCCGCGGCACCAGTACCCTCAGCAGCCGAAGAACCTCCAGCTCCAGCAGCACGCCTCCAGCGCCGGGCAAACCACTCTCGCAGCTCCTGTGGAGAGAGTGGCTCCCGCCGAGACGAAGCACCCGGAGAACCTCCAGGCTCAGCACCGCCAGACGCCACACGAGCAGGCCCAGCTCCCTCAGGCTCCGCACCCCCAGGCTCAGCACCTCCAGGCGTAGCACCCCCAGGCTCAGCACCCCCAGGCTCAGCACCCCCAGTAGTAGCACCCCCAGGCTCAGCACCCCCAGGCTCAGCACCCCCAGTAGTAGCACCCTCACGCTCAGCACCCCCAGGCGTAGCACCCACACGCTCAGCACCCCCAGAGTCAGCACCCCCAGGCTCAGCACCCTCAGCAGCACCAGAGTCACCAGTAACCTCGACAGGCTCGACTGCGTCTACCTGGGACACACCTGAAGGGGCAGGACCCTGAGGGGGGAGGGGGTCTACCGGGGGGGGACCTGGCACAAGGAAGAGCGGTGGCGGGGGGAGGGACGGAGTGCGGTAGGGGAAGAGGCGGTAGTAGGGGACCGACTCGTCAAACGTGACGTCCTGGGAGGACAGAACACGGCGAGAGGTGGGGTGGTAGAACTGCCACCCTGGCGCATCAGGGGGGAAGCCAAGGAAGACGCAAGGAGCAGCACGAGGGGACAGCTTGTCCGCAGACAAGTCGCGGACAAACGCCCGAGATCCCCAGACACGGGACGCAGACGCATCGCCAACCTTCCCCGTCCACAGCAAAGCTGGGGAGGTCTCCGGCATGGAGACCCTGGGGTGAAGGTTGATCTGATGCGCCGCGTACCGAA